CAGAGCGAGGCGCAGACAGTTGCGCGGAACATCATCAACCTCATCGAGAAGGACGAGAGGTGGAAAAAGTGGGATTCACCGCACTTCAAGGGCCAGATCAATGATGCCATCAAGGCCCTCGACGAAGCCCGCGACCACGAGAGCGCGAAGCCGTTCTTCACTGCCACCCTCTCTGAGCTCAAGAAGTCCATTGGGAGCGACGCCACGTTCGTGAAGTCGGCGAAGCGCTTCGTGGACCAGATCTCCCAGCCCGTGGAGGACCTGCAGGCGCAGGTCAAGAGGATCCGCACCATGCGCGGCCAGTAGTTCGGTTTGCTTCTTTTTCCTCTCAGTCCTTCTCCTCCTCAGCCTTATTATCCTGTTCCTTCTCCTCCTCCCTCCTCCTCTTCCTCCTCCCTCGTGCTCAAATCTCCTCCTCCCCCTCCTCCTCCGACTCCGACTCCTCCTCCTCCTCCTCCTCCTCCTCCTCCTCTCCTTCCCCCTCCTCCTCACCCCCCCCCCCTCCCCGCTTCCGATGGGAGGGTAGGGGGGGGGGGGGGGGGGGGGGTTGGTCCCCCTTCCACGAGGGCCCAGACTTATCTCTCTTTTGATATCTGTCGCCCTCGCACGCGCGGGGCGTTCATTTGCGCTCGGGCGTTGCGCTCGGGCGATCGAGCGCTGGGGCCCTCGACGGCAATGGGACTTTGCTATCGAGTGTGGACACTCGATAACGGGGCGCGCAGCTCGATATCGCGCGTGGGGTTGCTGGAAACAAGATTCCATAGCGTTTTCATTTCGCCCTGTGAACCTTAGAGTGGTTTTGGTCCGGCTTCGGCTCCCCGATGTGAAAATCTGGTCTGGCAATGGAAAACCGTGTCCGGCACGTGGAAAGGAGTGTCCGGCAGGGCAGAAACACCCGACTGAAAGCGATGAAACAAGCAGCGACTGAAAATCCTGATTTTCAGTCGCAGGCACCCGACTGAAACCGCGACTGAAACCATACGAGTACGAGGATGTATCAGGCGAAACCACATGCGACTGAAAACCGCAGCGACTGAAAATCGATTGAGAACCGACTGAATTCGCGGGAGGGCTTGCGACTGAAAGCCGACTGAGAACCGACTGAAACCGACTGAAACCGACTGGGCTCAGATTGAGCTCTAGCAGCTGCCGCTTGAGAGGCTGACCGAGCCCAGGGCAAGCGTGGCGGGCCCAGGGCAAGCGTGGCGGGATCGAACATGACACCTTCGCTCCTCTTGTTTCTTGATCCTTGCTCTTTTTTTCCTTGGCCCTGATCCCTTGACCCTTGACCCTTCTTCTTTTTCTACAATTACATACATAGCATCGCCCCTGCTCCCACTTCCCCCCCCCCCCCTCCTCCCCAGCTCACTCCTCGCCCAAATCCGTGGACCTCCACTGGCTATCATGCTCGAGCTCGGTTTGAATTCAAGTGGAACTCTGCGCGCGTCCGCCATGAGCAAGAGACGCAGGGCGCAGCCAGGGGTGCTGCTTGAGCAGCGCGGCGTTGACCCTGCAGAATTGCAACAACGTCGACGGGGTGCAGGTTTCAATCTCCTGCAAACCATGCTGTCCCTTTTCGCTAGCCAGAAAATCAGGGCCTGCGACCTCTGCGTCTTGTGCCACTGGGCCAACGAAGCAGGGGTTCCTGGGGGTGACTTTGCAATGCGCGCAGAAAAGCCAGGATTGCAGCCTGGGTCTTATCAGAGAGCGTTGGACAAGGTGCCCCCGAAGGGTCCGCATCTGGATGTGGTGGAGGCGCCGGGCGTCGACGGACACGCCGCACTTCGCATTCGGAGGAAGTTCTTCGCGCGCCCTGCCCTCGAGGCAATATGCGACGAAGTCTCGTCGTCCGAAGTTGACTACGATGACATTGATCTGGAAACGTTGCCACCGTCATTCCAAACGAACCCTGTAGTTTTGAACGCCCAAGTGCGAAACCAACCTGTTCCAATACCACTGATATTGTTCGCTGATGGTGTGCGTTACACCGCCCTACTAGCAGGGCGTTCCGACTCCATTTTGGGGATGTGGATCAGGACGTGGCAGACAAACAGCCGTCACTTGTTGGCGGCCATTCGGTATCAACATTTGTGCAGGCGCGGTTGCCGCGGATGGTGCGCTTTGCATCCGATCTGGGCCTGCGTCGCCTTCAGCTTGCGCGGGCTCGTCTTAGGCACTCGCCCGCGCGCGAAGTGGGACGGGGTCGAGCGCGACGCCAGCGACCCATATTCTGTGGAGCAGAAGGGTGAGCACTTGGGCTTCTCAGCGGCGGTGATGTTCATCGCAGGAACCATTGGGCGTGCAACAAACTCTCGCCTTTCTAGTCTTGATCTCCCTCCTCCTCCCACCACCCCCCATCACTTCCTCCCTTTCCCCTCCCGCAGCCCCTGGGCCCAGCTCCCTCGCGCCGCAGGGGGCGCCTGCCAGCCCGCGAGAGGTTCACTTGGCGGGCGCGGCGGAGGGGGGGGGGCGAGGAGGGCGGAGGGTGGATGAGGATGATAAGGAGGAGCAGGGATAGGCGAGGATGGATGACGAGGCGGAGGAGGAGGAGGAGGAGGAGGAAGGGCGCATTCTCCATATTTGAGTTGGTGGGCGTCTCCAGGAGGGTGAAAGCAGAGTCCCACCATTCTTCCAGTGCCACCAGAGATTCAAAGTTCCCCAGTTCCCCACCCCCCACAACCGCCCTCCACAAATTTCCAGATCCCAGAAGTCCGGTAACCCCCGCCCACAGGCTTCAAAGATCCCCCCAATGCCTCCCGAAATACAAGAGCGCCCCAGCCCCCGAATGGAATCCCAAAGCCTTCAAACCATAACACTACCACATGTTTTAATTTCCCCCCCTTCCGCAAGGAGACATGCATGAGTGGGGGTCTACGCTCGGTTTGCAGACCGCCACTGCGAACTTCAACCTGTGTCCGTTCTGCAAGTGCAACAAATCTAACATGTTCAAAAAATACGGTGCGTGCTCTATGATAGGACTCCCGTGGGAAGAGAGGCTCGAGACGGCGCATGCCGAAATGTGCGATGAACGGGAGATGCACGCGCGCGTCTCCGACGAGAGGATACGCCAAGCTATCATCAGTATAGGCTGCCCTGTATACTCCAAACACAAACGAGCTAGAGGTCGGGCGCTCTCGAAACATGTCCCTGAGTTTAACCTCTTGGCAAAGGATCGCATTGAGCCAGGATATGACCTGGACGCCCCTGGCACGTTCCTCACTGACCCCGCGGAGCTTGAAACTAAAGATACCCCAGTCAATATTGTTTTTTGGAGAGCAACCTTTGACTCAGAAGGGCGGCTTCGAGTCGCTGTTCAGAGGCGCAATCAGATATGAAGATCTCATCGGGACATCGCCTTATCGCACGCTGGCTTTGGACATTATGCACGCGTTCTGTTTCGGGCCTGTAAGTAGATGGACTTCTTGCGTCTTATGGAGGACGATTAATCAGAATCCGTGGGGCATCGCTGGTGATTCTAAGACTGTGGATGAGCAGGGGTGTCGTCGTCTCAGGGGGATGTTCTTGAAGTGGCAAGAGGATCAGGGTATACCTCCAGAGCTCCGCATCGGGGATCTCACAATCCGCATGCTAGGTGACAAGCGCAAATCGACTTCGAACATCCATCGCCTACACAAGGGCACGTTGTTAAAGACTAAAGCAGCAGACTCACTCATCGTAATGAAATGGGCCGTGGACATGCTTGATTCTTACCCCTTAGAGTTCCATAATGAATCCATGAAGCGTGCTGGGCAATGTTTGGTTGAGTATAGCGAGCTTAACAAAACGATTGACGGTGCTTCTGTGCCGATGCAGACCTCGCAGAGGCTCATGGAATTGGCAATCGAATCCCTTGATTGCATGCAACGGCCCAACGTGTCGGATGCTCCCAAGATGGACGCGATCGTGCACATGACAAAGAGGCGAGCGCTAGCGTTTGTTACTGTGAGGGGTCGGGGGCGGAGAGCAGGGGTGGCAGGAGGATGGAAAAGGTAGTTTGGGAGGCACGGATCATGCCACAATTTTGGGACAACCGCGCTTTGCCTTCGGAGGGGGCGAGAGCTCCTCGTCGCGACGAGACGCAGCTCGAACTTGAGCGCGCGGGCGCGTTGTTTTCGGACGGGGCGGAAAGCTCGTCGCAAGGACTGGGCGCAGCTCGGACATCGCTGGGGAGATGGTTTGCGGCGGGGGGGGGGGGGGGGGGGGGGGGGTGGGGGGGGTGGGGGGGGGGGGGGGGGGGGTGGGGGGGGGGGGGGGGGGGGGGGGGGGGGGGGGTGGGGGGGGGGGGGGGGGGGGGGCGGGCTGGCTTTGTCTCGGCGCGCCTCCGCTGGAGGCCGCGCGGACCCCATCGATGTAACAATCGCTGTTGCAGGCTCGCCTTTCAGGGGAGCGTTCGTTTTTATGCGACTTGGGTCGACGAGTCATTGAACCAGGTTCTTCGGGGGGTGGCCCAGGCTGCGCACGCCTTGCGGATGGACGACCGCATCTTTCAATGTCAGCGCACCTCAAGCCAAATGGGCCACACTATTCGGCTCTGGGCCACCCAAGGCCACTTGCTGAAGGGCCCGAAGAAGGATGAGAAGGCGGAGGAGGAGGAGGAAGAGGAGGAGGGGGAGGAGGAGGAGGAGGAGGACGTGGAGAGGGAGGAGGAGCAGGAAGGGACACATGAGATATCAGGAGAAGGAGGAGGAGGAGGAGGTCTAGAGGAGGAGAAGCACCGCGGGGGGGCTGGGGTGGCGAGATCTGGCCATGCTTCCACCTCCGACATTGTCCTTCCTCCGTATTCCACCCTCATGCATGGCCCTACTCGCCCCCCCTACTCCCGCCCCAATTCCCCCCCATCCCCCCCCCCCCCGTATGTTTCGATGCCTATTTGGCTTGGGTGCTCCGAAAGTCTTTCGCCTTGATCGGCGTGCTCGGTTCGGCGCCGCTCATTTTTGGTCGAGGCGGCCTGTTTGCTTAGCGCTCGCCGCTCGGGCTCGGGCGCCATGGGCGCTGACGAGGACGGTGATCCAGAGTGGGGCGGACTGGCGTGCCCACCAGGCATACTTGCCCAAGTCCATAAGATGAAGACGTACCCTACGAATGGGCTGACTGATCCAGAGTATGGGATGAGATTGTACAATTTGGGCGTCCATCTATTCCTGTTTAACTTGTTGAACTGGAAACAAGGTATTCATTTCGCTGAGATTTTCCGTGGGAAAGCGGTCCTCTCGGACGAGGTTGAGAACGCCGGCATGCTCGCTCACTCAGTTGACAAAAAAAGACACAAACATCACGACATGAGCACGCTAGAAGGGTTCGTGCTTATTGGTTTGCTCATGGGCTCCATCGTTCCTGGAGGGGTGGCCTGGTTCGCGCCCCAGTGTTCTACCTGGCTGAGCTTCATGTGCGCGGTCCACATGCAAAGGACCCTCAGCGCATGCAAACATATCCACCGACCCCCCCCCCCCCCCCGCCACCAACACACACACGCAACACACACACACAACACACAAACACACACACACAACACACACACACACACACGCACGCACCCACACACACACACACACACACACACACACACACACACACACACACACACACACACACACACACACACACACACACACACACGCACACACACACACCACCCCTCGCCCCCAGCCCCCTCCCTCCCCCCTTCGGCGAGGGGGGCGGGCACCGAGCGCCGAGCCACGGAGATCACCCGGACATGGCCCTGTGGGCTGGTGGGGGCTGGTGAGGGGGATGTCCCTTCCTCCACCTCCTCCTCCTCCTCTTCCCCCTCCTGGCATCCTCCCCCTCCTCCACCTCCTCCTCCCCGCTTCCTGCTCCTCCTCCCCCCTCCTCCTCCTTCTCCCTCCCCCCCCCCCCCCGTCCTCCTCCCTCCCCCCCCCTCTCCTTCATACCCCCCCCACCCCCCCCCCACCCCCTCGCAAGACCAATGCCCCCCTCAAAGGCGGAGGGGGGGGGGCGAGGGGGGCGATGATCAGGATGGTGATGGCGATAAAGGGGAACGAGGAGGGATGATGAGCATTTGATTTTTTGCCACAGTAGGATGCCTTCTAATCAGTACTTCGGGAACACGTCCCGCAGCGACGTTCAGGTGGCCAACTGCGTCGCCGTTTGCATGCAGTTCCTCATCGGCGTTGCGACATCGAGGGACATCCACATTGTGATTGAGAATCCTTCGAACTCCCATCTGTTTAAGTTCCCTCCGTTGCTCGCGCGTTTGAAGGAGATCGGTGCTGTGAAGCACCAGGTTTGGGGTGGCGCATACGGCCGGCCATCGATGAAAGGTTTCACGCTTTACAGCGCCATACCGCCTCATATTGTGAAACGCCACCTCGGCAAGACAGCTCGGGAGGCTCGCGAGATTTTAGGGCGCCCTCGACCGCTGGTGCTGCAGAGAGGCAAGAGGCGGACCTGGAAAAATGGCCGCAAACCGGCCATGCAGAGCAGCTGGGAATACACGCGCCAGTTTGCCAAAGCAGCAGCAAACGTGGTGCGTGAGCTGTTTGCTTGAGGGGATTGCATGATGATGATGATGATGATGATGATGGCGATTGCGATGCCGACGGAGGATAGGGCGATATGGAGGAGATCCCACCGCCCGCCTGTCTGCAGCGCGGCCCGCCGCGAGGGCGACGGGTCGCGGCTTGGCCGCAGCGCTGCTGTGCGCAGCGGATCTTGAGCCGAGCGGCGAACGCTCGAAGCAACGACGTCAGCTCTTCTACCCACCCCCGTCTTCCGATCCGACCTGATGCCGAAGAAGGGGGATGTGCGTCGACGTGACCCCCCCCCACTGCCCTTCGCCCCGCTGGAGGCTGCGAGGTAGAGGTGGGAGGGCCGACCCTCTCTTATCGACTCCCCCCCCCCCCCCCCCCCCCCCCGCACACGCGCACGCACACACACACACACACACACGCACGCACACACACACGCGCACGCACGCGCGCACGCGCACACGCGCACACTTCAGCGGAAGGTCGGATCGGATTAAGAGAGGGAGGAGGAGCAGGAGGAGGGGGAGGAATAACAGGATGAGGAGGAGGAGGTCGAGAGGAGGAAACGGATGAGGAGGAGGACGAGGAGGAGGAGGAGGAGAAGGAGGAGGAGGAGGAGAGAAGAAGGAGGAGCAGAAGGAGGGAGGAAGAGGAGGAGGAGGAGGAGGAGGGAGAGGAGAGGAGAGAAGGAGGAGGAGGAGGAGGAGGAGGAGGAGGAGGAGGATGCGCAGGTGGACGCGGAGGCGGGGGCGTAGGTGGAGGAGGAAGAGGAGAAGCTAAGATGAGGAGGACGAGACCAAGGCCAATGGTCGATGTTTTTTTCGGCCTCTGGAGGCCTCCACGTGATTTCGGCCCCTGGGGGGTTCGGCCTCTGGGTCCTGGAGTTTTTGGTTCAGGGCTTTCGCGGATTTGGTCCGACCGCCGCCGGGCCCTCGTCAAGCCGTCGCCCCGCCGTCAGGCAGCCGCCCCTCTTCTGACTTCTTCCTCCTCCATCTCCTCCTCCTCCTCCTCCTCCTCCTTCTCCTCCTCCTCCTGCTCTGATCCTGCTCCTCCTCCTATTTCTCCTCCTCCTCCTCCTCCTCCCCCTTCCTCCTCTTCCCCCCCTTCCCCTGTCCTGCCGATCGCTGACCCGAGCCGCTGCGGGAGGGGAAGCGCGTCGCCGTCGTCGCCGACGACGCCTTTCTGGCATTTACGGCCCACAAGCACGAACAACTGCAGGGGTCCTGGGCCTAAAACCCGTGCCCAATCACGTCGTCGTCGTCGTCGTCGTCGTCGTCGTCAGCCCCAGCCGCGTCGTCGTCGCGAGACTTCCTCCTCGTCATCCCCCTCCTTCTCCCCTTCCTCCTGCTCATCCTGTTTCCCCTTCAGCTTCATCCTTCTCCTCCCCCTCTTCGGCCGTGCCATCTTCCCCCTCCGCCTCTGTCTCCTCCTCCTCCTCATCCTCCTCTTACCCCTCCACATCCTCCTCCTCTTTTCTCCGTGCCCTCGGCACTGATGTATTTCAATGAATAGAGTACGTGGCCGAAAGCTCCGTGCATTCGGCGGAGCACCGATCGGGCTCGCAGAAGCGCACGCGGTGTTGGCGCATACGAGCACCATATTCACTCACGCATGTGGCAAATCAAGTATAGTAATGTGTTCCTTCTTTCCTCCTCCTCCTCCTCCTCTTCGCCATCGCGGCTACGCCGAGGGGGCAACCTATGGGGCAATCGATGAGAATCGCCTCCGCCGCCGAGAACGCTATTAAGCCCGATGGGTGGTAGTCTCTCCTCCTCCTCCTCCTCCTCCTCCTCCTCCCCGTCCTCCTCCTCCTCCTCCTCCTCCTCGTCCTCCTCCTCCTCCTCCTCCTCCTCCTCCTCCCCCTCCTCCTCCTCCTATAGCTACTCCTACTCATCCCCTCCAACCTGCCGCTTTTTATATAGCAGCGTTGGCTCATATGGCGGGCCGCCCCCGCCTGCCTGCCATCCTGGCTACACCGACGGGGGGCGCAATGGCCGGGGCAGCCAGGGCGTCGGGGTGCTAGTCAGCCTGGAGCTGGGGTACTACACCACGGCAATGCGTGTCCACGCGGTGCCAGAAGTCGTTTCGACTCCGCACCGTCGACCGATCGGGGGCCGCTGCCGCGGTTTGCCCCTTTCTCCATCGAGCTGCCCCAGGTGCACCTTATCCCGCGCCTCTGGCACTTCCCCCCGCGGGGGATCGTGCCAGGGGCGGGAGTCGCCCCCGTCTGGGGATTGCTCAACATAAGGTGGGGCCGCGAAGGCCCCACCTTCCATTTTCAGATTCGTTACCCAACCAATTGCTCTGGCACTCGGTGCGGGCGCGCGGGCGCCCGAGGGCGCGCTGCCGCCCGCTGGCCGCTAACCAGGACCAACGCACCGCTTTTGCTGCCGCCCTCTTCTTCCTCCACCTCCTCCTCCTCCTCCTCCCCCCCCTCCTCCTCTTGCTTCTCCTCCTTCCTCTCCTTGATCCTCTTCCTCCTCCTCCTGCTGCTGCTGCTGCTCCTCCTCCTCCTCCTCCGCCACCCGCGTAACCATTTTGGCTTATGCTGGTTTGCTCAAGCCGCTTTGGCTGTGTGATAGTGGCATGGTTGTGGTAACGGAGCCAGTTGGATGTTGTGTTTTCATATGTTGTGGAGCAGCATTGACGCTGTTATGGTGTATTTCATAGGTGGCACTGGTGTGCTAGTGGCAGCGGAGCTACTGGTATGCTGCATGTATATTTAGATGTGACAATGTGGGAAATCATTCTATATATATATATATGTGTATATATGTACATATATATATATAAATATATGCGAGTGAGAGACAACGCCGAGGATCCACATGTCGCCCCGGATCCGGAAAAGCAGAAAAGTGGATCCGCGGATCCGGATTCGAGACAAAATAAGCCGGATCCGGATTCTGGATCCTGGGCACCTCTGGGCTACTTGAACACAGCGCCGACCCAGGGCCTGGTGGACCTGGGCGCCGGCTCCGATCTCGTGGGGCGCCTCTGCCTCAACCAGGAGGCTCATGCGCTGGCCCAGGTCGGCATGCAGTACGTGGTGGTGCCTCACGCATACAAGGCGCCTCGCAGCGCGAAGGGCATAGGCGGGCAGGCGAGAGTGATGGTCACGATTTTGTTTGCTCTCTGTCTCGGCGGTGTCTTGGGAATAGTCGAGACAACAGTGCTTGGCGAGGACGTGCCTCGCATCCTCAGTGCGAACTTGCTCGACTATCTAGGATGCGTGCTCGACCTGCTCAGAGATCTTTTGAAGTCCCGCGCCCTGGGGCAGACCATGCCCGCCACCAAGCTCAGTTCAGGGCATCGCATGGTAGATATTGTGTGCAAGCTAGATCAGCCTGTTGTGGTGCCAGAGGTGGCACTGGCCAAGTACCCATTTCTCTCGCCGACTTCTTTCCAGAAGTCCACAAGCACGGAGGTTCACGAGGTTGAGGCCGGCGGGTCACTGCTCGAGTACATCATCCTCCTCTTTCTCCTCCTCACCCTCTTTATCCGGGACCTGTGGATCAGGGGCCTCGAGACGCTCAAAGAGGGGATCTACGGGCTCACGGGTGAGATGGCGAGGGGGCTCGGGCAGCAGGGGGACCCCTTCAACAGGGGCCAGCCACGGGCTCAGCCAGCTAGCTTGGGATCTGCGGGGGCCTCATGATCCGTAGGATGTGCTAAGGCGGCGGGGCAAGGTCCGGGGCTTAGATCTGAGGAGCAAGACGGGTCCAAGACGGCCTCAAGACGACCTCAGGACAGTCTCAGGAGGGCCATCGAGGCCAGGACCGGAGCTCTCGACCTTGTCTATCGCAAGGTCAAGCGCGGCTCGATCGCGTCCAGGATCCGAGAGGTCAGTATCCTCCCAGGCTTCTCCGTAGCCGATTTTGGCTCGAGCCATAGCTATCACGATTCGGACTCGCGAGCCCACCTAGTTGCCGAGAGCAGCAACTTTCCCAGCCATGCGTGCCGCGATGATCAGGGCGCCGCTCGCTGCCATTGCGGCGGCCGTGCTTTTCCCGACAGTCCAGGCCGGGAAGAAGAAGTCCCCAGGAGCACAGGGGGCCACCGAGGAGTTTCTCGCTCGCCGTGCTCGAACCCTGGTGGAGATCGACACCGATGCGAGCCAGGGCGAGGCCGCGGAGCCGCAGGCAGCACAGCCAGCGCCGCAGGTGGTGCAGCCGGCGCCAGGAGGCTTGCAGTCCTTCGCGGGCAGCTCGGCGGCAGCGGCGGGAGAGCCCCTTCCAGCAGACCTTCAGCGAGAGGCAGCTCTTCGGGAACAAGCGCGGATCGCAGCCGGCTTGCTTCAGCCGCCACTCCCACAAGGACCACCGCCGGTGGGGCCACTGACACAGCAAGGATTCTTCACCAACCCGACGCACATGCTTCCTCTGGCACCACCGACGGAGCCGGTCCTATGGAATGCGGCGGCTATGGCGATGGAGTGCCCCCCGACTGGCCCAGTACCGGGGGCAGTGGCAGCGGCAGCCACCTCGAGCGACGTCACAATGACACCGGGAGTCAGCTCAGGATCGGGAGCAACGGCAGTGACAGCACCAGCTATGGCGGGTGGCCTGGCGCCGCTCTCGGGGCCAGCAGCGAGCAAGCCGCCTCCGAAACCAGCCAGAGGGGCGGCAGCATCGAGAGGGTGGTCACCCGGGCCGAACGGGTGCAATCACCCGGCGCAGTTCATCAGTTATTTCGGGAACCAACACGGATCAGGCAGCAAGTGCGACACCCCAGAGGTGCCAAAGTGTCTAAAACA